ATTAAAACTTGAAAATTTAAAGAGTATAAAATTCTAATTAAAAAAATTGTCACTTGAAAACTGAAAATGGACTTTATATTAATTAACTTGATTAATAATTAATAACTGAATACATTTTGATTTACGACATCCCCACGGTCATACAAACACTAATAATTAATAGTATATTTTCTCTTAATAATATAAACCAGGTTAGTTTATTCTTAAAACTATAATATTTTAAAATGAACAAAACTGGAAATGCAAAGAAAACGAATGGAAAAGTTAAAAAATTTGGAAAGAGTCCTGGAAAGAAAAAGCTGAAAAACAGGTTATTTATTGTTAATAACGAAAACTGAAAAAACGCCTAAAATTGACAACAATAAAAAAGTTATTTTTAAAAAATAAAAAGAACAACAATTATGGCCGTAAATTCAATAGGATATATAAAAATCATTTAGATGACAACAGAAAACCATAACCTAATGATTTATCGTCTTAAATAGTAAAACAAATTAAACTAAATGAAGATGAAGAAATATTGCCTTCTAATTTGAAAAATATTGAGATATCGTATGGATTGAGAAAAAAGAAGTGTGAAGTTGAAGATTTTGGAAATTAAAATAAATTTTTACATTAAGTTTGTGTAAAAATTAATTTTTAAATTAGATTTATGTAAAATAATACATATTTATGTCGTTTGATAAATTGTAAGGATTAAAATAATTTAGAACAAAATGTGTTTGACCAAAAAATATTTTCTAAGTGATATAAAAACAATAATTTAAAGTAAGTAACCTCTGAAGAAATAAAGCTGATAATATAAAAGTTAACTAAGTATAAAAAATGTCAACAAAACAAGAAAGAGAAGTCTAAATTGATATCCTTTTGATTTTTAATAATCTTAATAAAAAGTATGTTTAAGCGAAGAATCTACACTTTATTTATTTTATGTGAATCTACTTTTAACTTTTAGATGATAACTGTGATGTAAAAACTCTAAAGCTATGTTTCTTATAAATTAAATTATTTTATACAATAAAATTATCTTATAGCACATATGTAAAATATTAAACAATAATAATTATTATATTAGTAAGTAAAATAATGTTAATGCTATAGTACTGAGTGAAGGCAACATCTCAAATAAGCTCACTTATATAGAATAAATATTCTTAAATTTTCTTGAAATATTAATTAAATATAAATAAAATTAAAATAATGACGATATAACGAAGAAAATTTACGATGAGTTCAACCACCAAAAATGGATGGAATCGCGATGACTGCCATTTGGATATTGAATATAAAGAGAAGAGGGAAAATTTTAGTTTTTGAATGGAAAACAACGCAACATGTTTGGAAAATGCAAAAATAAATAATGTAATTATGAAAAATTTTTAAATTACTTATATATTATTATTGTGGAAATAAAATTGTCCAATATAATTGTGGTGCTCGAAATAGGAATGACACAATTGGACAGGCAGCGTTGATATCAAATTAGGATTTCTTATCTCATAACATTGGAAATTCTATCGTTTTCTATATAGCCACGGAAAATGGGTTTTTGGTAGAAGCAAGCAAGATCCAGACTGGGGAATCGGTTGTGATTTTGAAATGATAAAATAACACCATCCGACAGATAATTCTGAAAACTGGATCGGCCAAAACAACTTGGGTATTATTCTAATGGAAGTAAGAGTAAAATTTAAAGGTGAAAAAGAAAGAAATATAAAAAATTTAAACACGAATGCTATTGAGCGTTCTAATAGTGTCGGCAACAGCCGAAAATGATATTTTAATTTTAAATTTCAAAATAAATTTCTTCATTTTTAACATTAATCATTGAAATATATTTTTATATTTTTTGAAATTCTTCATTTTTTAAATGTTATTTTCTAAATTAGCCCTTTTCCAATGTCTCATCCTCATTCTTTCCTAAAATTAACCTTTTTCTTCTGATGCAATTTTGTCCTATTTAAACTAACCACTAACCGCTAACACTTAATCATTTTCAATTCCTTTAATTTTAAATCTAAATATAAAATGCTCCCCCCTTCTTTTAAATATAAATTAAATTAATTGATAAATTTCTTTAAAATCATTTCTTGTAAATTTGGGGGTCTAAATAAAGACATTTGGTGCCACGACAAAACTGGCCGGGGGAAACAATAGTCGAAGCCGAAGCAGAAGTAGGGACCGACATCGGCAGCGACAACACAGACAACACCCACAAAGAAGAGATCGTCGGCGTATTTTCAGACCGACTCGTTCGTTTCCTAGACGAGCACAACATCCACCACAAAGGCAGCGCATTCCAAATCGCCAACACCGTCCAATCCTCGATCGAGTCCAATTCACCAGCCCAGCACAAAACAGGCAGTTTTCTTTTAGTAGGAGAAATAACAACTATTTTCCGAGGGGAGGCGGGTCCCAATTAAATAATTGGTTCCAAATTCCACAGCGACCTGCTCATCCACGTGCTGTGTTTGTGCCTTACTACCCACAACCGAATTTTCCAGCGCCCTTTGTTCAACCTCTTCCACCACCTGTTCCAAATTTTCCACCACCTTCTGTGCACCCACAACCACTTTTCTACTTCCCACGTGCTCCACACTATTAGGTGAGTAAAAAAAATGGCAGAAGGTTTCAAAAATACTTTAAATCCCCTAAAAGCCCGATTAATCAGACTTGACCAGGAGGTAGTAGAAATAGATTTTCTGGTGCAAAATGAGGACTTTAATAGGAAAAATGAGTTAATAAGAATGGCTGAATCATACATTGAAAAATACGGGGATACATTTACAGCCATTAATGAAATAAATTTTGAATGGTTAAAATACCTGGGGTCTATTAAAAATACAACTGAAAAAGTATCAGAATCTGGGGAGCATTATACATTTACCAGCAGAGCAGAAACGGGGTTATTTACGCAGATGGAAAATTCGCGTAATATCATTGATCGCTTAAAAGAAAATTTACGCGTATTAAAAAACTCTGCTCAAACAAATCGGGGTCAAGAAATAAATAATGCAAAATTGCCGGAACTGGCACTTCAAACATTTAATGGGGATATTTCTAAATATACTGAATTCATTGAAGACTTTACAACAAATATCGGGGATAGAACAGACATTTCCAATAAAATGAAATTGGATTATTTAAAACGCTCATTAAGGGGTGAAGCATTTAAACTAATTGAGGGGATTCCTTCTGAAGGAAAAAATTTACCAACAGTAATGGAAATCCTTAAAAATAATTATGGAAATCCAGAAATAATTAAAACTTATCTCCACGGGGCTTTACGAAAAATTCCGAGATCTTCACCTCACGTTCCCGAATTAAGGCAAACCTTAAGGCAAATAGATACAATCCTACGACAGCTTGAACTCATGGGGGAATCGATCGAACATAGACAAATAATGATAGAAATAGAAAGCAAATTACCGCGTTGGACCCTCACTGAGCTAGCCAAGGAAAAAATTAAAGTGCCAAATATGAGCGTAAAGGGGATGTGGGATTTCCTCGATAAATCTGTTCGATTAAAAGAAGAAGTATATAAAATGGATCGGGAATTTAGCACTGGAGAACCACCTAGAAAAACAATTTTAAATAAAAATAATCAATGGGGTACCCAAAGGGTAACAAATTTTCAAAATTATGGGCAAAATTTAAATCGAAGAAATTTTCCCAAACAAACAGTAATGTACGCATTCAATAAAGAAATTGATTTAAAATGCGCCTTTTGTTCCGATACACATTATGACAATCAATGTAAAAAATATAATAATATTGAAAAACGTGTTGAAAGAGCACGCGAACTAAAACTTTGTTTAAAATGTCTAAAATTAGGACATGGGGCTAATAATTGTAAAAATAAAATTGAGTGTTTTCATTGTAAAGATAAACGTCACTGTTCCGCTCTCTGTAGAAGAAAAGAAAAAATCGGTGAAAATAAAAATTTCCAATATAGATCGCACGCACCAATGAAAACAAATACAAAAATGGCCAAGCAGCAAAAAATTATGGCTAATGTCCAAGAGAGCGATTCGAATGTTGAGGAAAGTGACGACGAAAATGACGTAATTATTCAACACTCTCAAAATGAAAAAAAGGGTGAGAAAAATGAACAAACAATCTTTCACGTGCTTAAAACTAATATAAATTCTGGGGTAAATAACCGATCATTTGAGGCTTATGCATTTTTAGACAGTGGGGCAGAAATTTCATTAATTAAAAATAGCCTGGCCGATAAAATAAAATTAAAGTCAATCTCTACTGAAACAATTAGAGGTACCGGGGCAATGGGCACACGCTTTGAAGAAAAGGCAAATGTTTACAAATTTTATCTCCACTGTAAAAATAACCAAAAAATGGAAATTATAGCCCGAGGAGTAGAACATTTGCCTAAACCTGTTTTAGTGCTAGATCCAAAATTAACAAAAAGCACAAAAAATTTCGCAACCATTCCGAAATGTTTCGCGTCACTAAAGGAGCCAGAACTATTAATTGGGGCTGAATACTATTTTGATCTTCTGGACTTCCCTAAAACTAAATCTGGCTTCAACCTAATAAATACTAAAATTGGTATGTCATTAGCAGGGAAAGGTTATATAGAAACCCCTAAAAAAGAAAAACAAATTTTGCCATTCTTTATGGACTCTACTGATGAAAGCGATGACGATTCACCTTTTCCTGCAAGAGGAAATTTCAGAAATAACCGAGAGAGCCCTCCGCCTGACCCAAAACCCACTCAACGGGAATTTCAACAAACACATAGAGAAAATAGGGTCCCCATACCGAACATGTGTTTTTGCAAGTGTTACAGGGACCCAAACATTAAATGCAAATGTAAAAGTAAATACCCATGTATATGCACTCCTGTCCCAGTTGAGCCTGAAAATGCTAAGAAATTTAATATTGGGGGAATGTATTCAGCTAGACTTCGCACTTTAAAAGACCAAATAAAAATTAGAAAAAAGAATAAATCGATTGAAAAAACAGCAAAAAATATACAAATGAATACATTATTTTCGGATGAAACTATTGAAAATTTTTGGAATCTTGAGGGGATAGGAATTAGTGAATGCCCATACCAAAATGACGATAAAATCGCCTACGAACTTTTTCTGAAAAATATAAGGCGTGACAAGATGGGCCGTTACAAAGTTTCTCTACCCTGGAAAAATAAAGAGTATACACTTCCCGATAATTTTTGGATTTCATTCCAACGTTTAAAAGGCATTTGGCAAAAAATTATAAAAATCCCAGATAAAGAATTGAGAGAAAAAACACTTAAAAAATATGATGAAATATTCAAAGAGCAAATAAATGAGGGAGTGCTCGAAATTGTTGAAAATGATAATTCTGAAAAAATACATTATATTCCACATCATGCCATTTATAGACCAGAAAAAGATAAAATTAGGGTGGTAATTGATGCAAGTTGCAAAACAAAAAATAATGAAAGCTTAAACCAACAACTGTATCGGGGCCCGGTTCTCTTACCCGATCTTTGTGCAACTTTAATAAAATTTCGGACTTATGATATAGCCATTATTGCGGATGTTAAAGCGGCCTTCCATCAAATTGAAATCCATAAAAAGGACCGCGATGTCTTACGATTACTTTGGCTTAAAAATCTAAATGAACCGCCAAGTTTGGAAAATATCATAAAACTACGTCATAAGAGACTTCCATTTGGAGTGATTTCCGCACCCTTTTTAATGGCAGCAGTCATTCAATATCACTTAGAAAATGAAAATAATAACCTAGAAATCGAAACGTACGCGGACAACGTTTTTATTACCGCTAAAGACGAATCGGATGCAATTGCTAAATGTAACCAAAGTATTATATTTTTCGGAAAAGCCAAAATGGAATTGCACGAATTCGCCTCTAATTGCAGTAAAGTGAATGAAAAATTTGGGGATAAAAATGAAATTTCTAAAATGAAAGTTCTAGGTATTAGATGGGACGTAGATTCTGATAAATTAAGTTTTAAAATTTCAAAAATAGAAAACAAAATCTGGACAAAAAGAATAGTCTTACAAACGGTTGCAAAAATATTTGATCCATTGGGGCTCCTTATTCCGGTTCAACTTACTAAAAAATTATTCTTTCAAAAATTGTGGAAAAAGGGAATAGGATGGGACGACCGATTAGACAATAATGATTTAGAGGAATGGGAAACAATAATTTCGGATGAAGGCGAAATCTCCCTAAATAGAAAATTATTTGAAAATTTTAATAATTCAAAAATTGATCTACATGTTTTTGTGGACGCGTCCGCATTGGCCTATTCAGCGGTGGCATATGCGAGACAACAAAATAAAGAAAAAATAAAAACAAATATTATTTTTGCCAAAAATAGATTATGTCCATTAAAAAATATCACGATTCCACGCTTAGAACTTTTAGCGGCTTTAATCGGATCTAGGATGGTTAAATTCTTAAAAAAGGAAAGTAAAATTAAATTTAATTCAATTACTAATTGGTCTGACAGTAAATGTGTAATTGCATGGATATCGGGGGAAAATACAAATAAATTGCCGCGTTTTGTAGCTCGACGAGTTGAAGAAATTAAAGAAATTACTGAAATTAAATGGCGATACATAAACACAGAGCAAAACCCGGCAGACTGCGCAACCCGCGGACTAACGATAAATGAATTAAAAAGTCATGAACTCTGGTGGACCGGCCCCAATTTCCTTTCATTAGATAAGACTGAGTGGCCAAAAATTCCAGAGGACTTAAAAATAGAAATTAAAAATATAAAAGATAATTTTGTAAAAATTAACACCCTAGAAATTGACTTTATTGATCCAAAAATTAGAAACGAATGGAAAAAACTGGTCTCTATAGGGAAAAATGTTTTAGCCTTTATTAAAAATATTTCAAAAAATAAAAAGGATTGGCAAAATACAATTTTTAAAGAATTAGAAAACTTAAAAGAAAATACCCAGATAAGGAAATTAGCAGAAATAATTTTAATTAAAAATTCACAAAATAGACATCCACCACCGCCCACACTCAAAAATTGCTTGAATATGGAGAAAAATAATTACGACTTATGGATTTGTAAAGGTAGGCTAGAGAACTTAGAAAACCACCCCGTATTCCTTTCAAATGAGAGTGAAATAACGCAAATGATCTGCCAAGAATTTCATAGGAAAAACTTACATGCGGGGATACAACAAACTTTAGCAGATATGCGTACACAGTTTTGGATCCCTAAAGCTCGAATTTTGGTTAAAAATGTAATTAAAAAATGCCAAAAATGTTTCATGTATAACTTAAAACCATATAAATTCCCTAAAATGGCACCTCTACCTGATGACAGAATAAATAGGTTCCAAGTTTTCGAACGGACAGGTGTTGATTATATGGGACCTCTTTACGTTAAAAATGGGGATGAAGCTTTAAAAATATGGATTTGTTTATTCACATGCCTTACATGTAGAGGGATACATTTAGATATAGCTAAGGACCTAACTGCCTCTTCTTTCCTACAAATTTTCACCAGATTCACAGCAGAGTATGGATTACCTCGAAAATTAATCAGTGATAACGGAACCCAATTCAAAATGAGCTCTAAGGCTGTCATAGAAATTCAAAAAAGCTTTGAGGCCGAAAAACTAGAATGGAAGTTTATTCCCGAGCTTTCTCCATGGTTTGGTGGTACTTACGAGCGCTTAGTGGGATTAACTAAAAAACACATTAAATTGGTCACGGGGAAAAAATACTTAGAAATTGGAGACATGCGAACACTAATAGTTCAAGTAAAATCGATTATAAACTCTAGGCCATTAACTTATGTTTGTTCGGACATGGAATCACCTAACCCTTTGTGCCCTATAGACTTTATGCAACCAAATAGAAACAAAAACGAATTTTTACGCTTAATACCCGAAAATGAAAATGACCTTGAATTTAAGGAAAAGGAAAAAACACATGAGAAATTAGTAAATATTTGGGGAACACTTCAAACAAGAGTTGAAAAATTCTGGGAAAGGTGGTCCACTGAATACTTGCAATCGCTCAAAGAACGAATAGACAAACATAAACAAAAGAAATACACAAACTATGAACCAAATGAGGGAGATATAGTGTTGATTGGCGACAAAAACCTCCCTAGGAATCAATGGAAAATGGGTAGAGTGGTTAAACTAATACAAGGGAGAGATGGAGAAAAGAGAGTAGCCAAAATTCTCTCAAAAGGAAAAACGCTAACTAGAGCAATACCCCTTCTTTACCCATTAGAAATTCGCGCAGAAACTGAAGAAAAGCCAAAAACAGAAAAATCCACTAAAATTGATAAAAATGAAGAGAAAACAGAAGAATATAGAGCAAAACTCAGATCTTACAAAAAGCCAGCTGCAAAAGAAATAAAAATAAAAACATTGCTAAACATTTCTCTAATCGCCTCACTTATTTTTTGGCCGCTAGCACACGCGAGACCCTGCAAAAGCAATGAAAACACAAAATTAATGGACATAGACACGTGTGTACAAAATGCTTTTGGGGTATACAAAGGTGAAAAGAGAACACTTTGTTGGAAATATATAACATGCGAAAACGGAGCCATTAGAGTCGCATCGGATAAAAAATTATTTTGTGGCGATAAATGTAAATGTTCTAATTGGACCCAAAATTGTAGCTTTTATAAGGGACCAAAATCATCAAATTCGACAATAAAAGATAAAGAAGTGAGAAAAATTTTAGAAAAAGAAAAAATTAAATTTTGTTCCTTGGAACCGAATGAAAAATGTGGGATGCCCGAAATAATAGAAGCAAACCAAATTCAGCTTTTCGATGGAACTAAACACTTAATTAAGGAATTAAACATTGCCCACATAGATAATTTAAATGGAAATTATGAATGTATTGGGGTAGGAAAGACAACAGGAAGCCCGCGTTACTGTAAAAATAATTTTTGCAATGAAGAAGGAACGCGCTTTTGTTACTTCAGGCAATATGAATTAACCGTTCTAGTAACCGATGAGGGCAACATTCCTATACAAAGTTGGGGATCAATTAAAATTAAAGTTTATTACTGGCCTGAACAAAAGAAAGAGCGCTGTAAAAACTGCGAAATCGAATGCGCTAAACAAGGAATAAAAATAAAATATAAAGAAAAAATAGGGGGGCTAGAAATATTTATTGGCGGGAAACCAGAAATGTACATTCCTCACCCAGAAAATGGCCAAATAATTTATCTCCCAACTGAACATATTATTTCAGAATATGAAGTTTCAGTAAAATTTTGGAAAAATGGAGAACAAGTTTCTGAAATGGGAATAAAATGTCCGGCTCAAAAACACTGCGAATTAATTGAGTGTACAGTTTGTATCCAAATGCTCACTAACCCTCAATGCACGCCAAAGGAATGGATAATCATATTAGTATTGGGCCTTTACTTCATCTTGGGATTTTTGATAATGATTTGTAGAATTTTAAAATTTGGCCTGGGAGGGATGCTTTGCATTATGCGACACAAATGGAGGCTTTGTAAAATTATCGGAAAACTTTTTAGGCGCAGAGTCAGAAAAGAAAAATCAGAATTTACAGAATTTAAGCCCTTAACTAAAACTTACAAAACCAACCTCCCAAAAGAAGTAATATTGATAACTTTACTCTTACTTACTCTGCCAATCCAAAGCCTAGAAATAATCAACGCCAAGGATGAACATTATATTGTAAATAAAGAAGGGCAACGCACATGTTCATATGAAAACGTGTTGGAGCTCAACTTTGGTTTACAATCTCAAAATGGCCAAGAAGCGCAAATTATTTTACAGGATTCCGGAAATCGACCCACGGGGAAAATTACTCTAAAAATAAATGCCATACAAGCTGTTTGCGTTCGATCAGCTAAATTCTTCACAAGGGATTTTGAATTAGGGGCAAACTCAGTTTATCTATGTAGTGGAGAAGGATCTTGTGCCTCTCAGCAAAAATGTGAAACTCTTGGGGTAAACGAGAGCATAAGTGAAATTCCTAAATCAAACCACTTACCCGGCACTTCTGGATGTCTCGATCCTTGTAAAGGACAACTTTTTTGCCAAAATTGCTATTATTCTAGTTACACATGCCTATTTTTCAGATGTTTCGCAGAACCCAAATCAAAAGAAATATATGAAATTTTTGAGTGTCCTGAATTTGGCTTAGAGCTTAAATTAAACATAACTATTGAAAATGCCGAACAAAAGTTTGAAAAAGAAATGAGATTACGCCCGGGGTTCACAGAAAATTTTAAGGAGATTAAACTTACCGCCACCTCAATGACTGTTCCTCCTATACCAGCATTAGGGCGTTCAATACTAACAGATGGTAATCGATTTGCCATAATTACCAAAGAACAAGAAAATTCCGCAAAAAGAGTCTTTTGCCCGAATATTAATGAAGCAGCCAAATTTAGCTCAAAATGTATAATGAAAAAGGAAATTTGCAAATGTGAAAAAAGGAAAAATAAAATAATGTGTGGGAAGCAAAACGGGCCTTATTTGAAAGATATTTTTATGGGAGAAAAGGTTTTACCCTTGGTACACAATGGACTCCTTTTAAAAAATGAAAATAAAGAAATAGTGGCAATTCCGGAACTTACGGCGGCCATTCTCCAGATTAGATTAGCGGGTGTTAGCTTCAAAGCCCAAATAGAATTAAATACTTGTAAAATAACCCCATATGAGATTTTAGGCTGTTATGGATGTGAAAAAGGGGCCACCTTTAAGTTACTATGTCTTACAGATTTCGGGCGGACATTAGCCACTTTAATATGCCCTTCTTTTACCAGTGCCGTCACGTGCGAGCCAACAGCCAACAACAAAACACTCTCTCTACATTTTGACCATGCTGATATTGATGAGAACTGTGAGGCCTTTTGCCCAGCTTCGACTACACGATTTAAAATTTTTGGAAAACTTTCCTCTCCAGAACTTGTTATTTTTGATTCTAGAAATTGGGATTGGACCGGAAGAAAAGACATTACCCCGAAAATTGATTGGCTATCAATTATTAAAAATTTTGTTTTTAATGCACACTTCCCCACCCTCATTCTCTCTCTTTCTATTGGCGGCATCCTAATCTACTTTTTGGCACCTTTTCTTCTAACACTTCTTTTTGCCATCTTCTCTTTCCTAATTAAACTTCTTTGTCTCCGGAGTGTCGGCAACAGCCGAAAATGATATTTTAATTTTAAATTTCAAAATAAATTTCTTCATTTTTAACATTAATCATTGAAATATATTTTTATATTTTTTGAAATTCTTCATTTTTTAAATGTTATTTTCTAAATTAGCCCTTTTCCAATGTCTCATCCTCATTCTTTCCTAAAATTAACCTTTTTCTTCTGATGCAATTTTGTCCTATTTAAACTAACCACTAACCGCTAACACTTAATCATTTTCAATTCCTTTAATTTTAAATCTAAATATAAAATGCTCCCCCCCTTCTTTTAAATATAAATTAAATTAATTGATAAATTTCTTTAAAATCATTTCTTGTAAATTTGGGGGTCTAAATAAAGACAAATAGAACTTATACTATTAAACAATTAAATATAATGAAATTAACAAAGAAAATAGAAATGCTATTAAGCATATAAAAATCAATGAAATTAATACTGAAGATAAAAATTAAATAACGAACTAGAAAATCATTTCCATAAAATATTAGAAAAAAGAGTGAAATAAATGTAAATTAAAATTATAGACATATTAAATAGACATCATGAATTTAGTTCAAGTCTATTATTAATATAATTAAAATATTTTAAATATAAAGATAAACATGTAAAGGAAAAAATATTTGGCTAAGACGCATGTTCGCTTTGTTTATTAATCGCTAATACATAATTTATTTTCCACATCAAATACTATCAGAATATCAAAAAAAAAAGCAAATTATTAGAATTATTGCTAAATACCAATAATAAATTTAAAAAATTAATCTAAAATTTGTAAAATCAAATTAATTTAAAATTTTTAAAAAGAAATTTAAAAAATTGCAATCACTATCTTTAATTTTGAAAAGAATTTTTTTGTTTTTAGTAAATTAACTGGTCGTGTTACTTTTGTGCATCGCGGCCCTAAAGCACGTCGTTCTTTTGACAGATGTGATGTTTTGTTGGATGCTGGTAGTCAAACGATCTACAAGTTATTGGAGTATATTGATATAAACATAATGCTGTAAAACTTCAATCAATTCATATAAACGTATTTAATAGTAAAAAAAATTTTAACGTATTTTAAATTAAATTTAATTTTAATTATATATATTTAATTAGTATATTTCCTATTTAGTTAGCGTAATTAAAAAAGCTAATTAAGTTAGTCTTAAGCAAATTCAGTTGTGTGAGCTGGTCTGATGTTTAAAAGTGTAAAAAACAAATAAATTATTTCATTATAATGTACATGACCAGATATAATCTTAAAATTTAGTAAAAAATTACATTAATCATAGTAAATAAAATTAAATAAATATATAAAACATACAACAACTATCTTTAAATTAAATAGATAAATCATAGTTATTTTATATAGCATATTGTATGAAAAATTTAATGAAAACATAGCTATTATATGAATTTGATGTAATTTTAGACTTTTATTAACGTGGAAAAATAAAATTTGAAAATAAAATCAATCAATTTAGTTAAAAACATTTTTCTTCGAATTTATTATAAAATTTTGAATTTTAATAACTTAACTTTTTCTGTATTTTAACTTTTTCTGTATTTTATTTACTAATATCGAAGACAATAAAGAAGTTTAGATCTCTTTATTTTTGCTATCAGTAAGGTGTGAATAGATAACGATACAAAGAAATTTTATTTATTTATATAATTTATTTATTTATAGTTATTTATATTAATCTTGATTTGCAAAAATATTTGCTATTTATATTAATTTCTAAGATGGTAAAATAGGTAAATCATTATGAAGGAAACAATAGAAAACATATTTTTAACTGCTGCTCTGATATTGCCTTTTATAAACAATTTTAATTGTTTTGTTATTGTCTAAAGGTTTAATTACTTTGTATATCGTAGACGCACCAACTTTAATTTGGATGTTCCTGTTTGCAATGTAGGCCCACAAACTCCTTGTTGTTACAGCCCTTTTTGTGAAGATAAAAAATATAGTTGAAAAAATTATTATTTAGAAGATCACACAGGGAACAATTCCATACGGGTTTAGCAATGTGGTTGTAGACGTGTTGCAAATTTCGAGCTCTCACTCTCACCCCGCAGTAACCACAATATTGCTTCCGCTTTCCCCCGCTTTTTAAGAAAACTACACCGCTTAAAAGCGGTGTAGTTTTAGTTTGAAGTCGAATTGCGCCTTCTTAATCACAGATAATTTCTTACTCTTTCAAAATAACATCACCATTAGAAAATAATAGTCAAATATTTAATTTTAAAAATTTGATATTTTTATTTAAATCAAGATGATATGGCATAATTCTGCCTGATTAAATACTTTTTTTTGATCTTCAATCTTAGCAATTTATCTTTTATTTTCACTTGATTTTATCCGTTAAAATATCTGTTTCTGAAATGTTTATTCCTAAAATAGTAATAACAACAGGCTAGTCGTTGTTTGTACGTCCCCGTCGTTGGCATTCTTTCTTTGAGTCTTGGGGAAAGTGCCCGCAGTTGACTTTTCGGACCCCTCCCCCTCCTTACGTCTCTCTCTATCCCTTTCTTCAAAATTCTTTTGCTTTTCACTTTGAAAAAAAAGGCTTTTTTAATAAAAGGAATAAAAAATAACTGGAAAAAATGTATTAGCGAAATGGAACTGAAACATAAATAAAAAATATAGTGTAATAGAAATTAAAAATTTTCAGCACCTCATACAATTCAACGTGTCAGGCTAACTCACGGAACGACAATTCACAGAATTATCAAATCGAAACAATCAACTCACGGAATTACCAAATCACGGAATGACCAAAACATGGAATGAACAAAACAAGGAACTCTTTTAAGAATAATATCTTTTGCCTACTCTTCACAATTTTTCATTTTACTATAAGTGAATTTTATGGTAAGAAAAATGTCATGGCTCAAAAGTCGGAACTCCGAAATCGGAAATCAAAATTTTTTTTCGGAAATCGGAAATCGGAAGGAAAAAACGCCGGAAATCGGAAATCGGAAGGCGGAAATCGGAAATAAAATTTTTATTTTCATAACTGAAATAATATTTAAAATTGTAAGGTGGCAAATTTTGGCCTCCTTGAGTGTAATTTGAGTGAGTAAATGTTCTTTTTGCAACTCAAGAGTCAAATTCGAAGGGATTAAAAGAGATATTGTGGGTTTGCTTGATTAGACGGGATATCAGAGAATTTATAGAATTAATAGGAATATTTTGTATCACACCCAGATCCTATGACCCCTTGAAATCACACGATATAACTCAAAGTCCACCTTAATCCATCCTAATCCTCCGATATACCATTCAATTTCCATTTACAGCGCCGCAGGCAAAATTTTTGGGATTTTTGGAAGATCCTTAAGCCAAAAATCTTTCATTTTTTGTGCCGCAGGCGAAAATTTTGAGAATTTTGGAAGATCCTTAAGCCAAAAATCTTCCATTTTTTGCGCCGCAGGCGAAAATTTTGAGAATTTTGGAAGATCCTTAAGCCAAAAATCTTCCATTTTTTGCGCCGCAGGCGAAAATTTTGAGAATTTTGGAAGATCCTTAAGCCAAAAATCTTCCATTTTTTGCGCCGCAGGCGAAAATTTTGAGAATTTTAGAAGATCCTTAAGCCAAAAATCTTCCATTTTTTGCGCCGCAGGCGAAAATTTTGAGAATTTTGGAAGATCCTTAAGCCAAAAATCTTCCATTTTTTGCGCTGCAGGCGAAAATTTTGAGAATTTTGGAAGATCCTTAAGCCAAAAATCTTCCATTTTTTGCGCCGCAGGCAAAAATTTTGAGAATTATAGAAGGCTAGAAGCCAGATTTCTTCCTTTTCAGCGCCGCAGGCGAAAATTTTAAAAATTTTGGAAAAATTGTTAGTCGGAAATACGCCTTAAAAAATGTCGGAAATCGGAAATTTTCCCAAAATTTTGGAAATCGGAAATCGGAAGGAAAAAAACGTCGGAAATCGGAAGTCGGAATTCCGACCCACCTCTGCAAATCACCTACGTCAACGAGATTTGTTAACCCAACTACCAATAACTTGGCGTGGTTGGCAGGCATTATTCATTATATCGAATTAAATTCATTGAATTATAGTTAGGCACAATAGTTTAATTTAGAAAGATATTTTAATTTTAGAATAAATTTTAACAACGCTATATAAGTTGAATCATGAGTCGCTGATCAAGCATTATGTAACACAATTTAAATGAAATATATTTAATTGACTAATATTGTTATTAGTTGATGATAATTCATAAATTAAATTTTGGATATGTTCCATTAAAATATTTATTATCAAAATACTGAAATTTTAAATAAATTTTAAATAATCAATTCATCAAAACAATGTGCAATTTCTTTTAATCAATTCATAAAGAATTAAATGTACTTAAAGAGAACACAGAATATTTTGTTCAAAAAATAAATTTTAATTTAATTTTTGACATAAAATAAATTGCTTTAAAAAATATAATTAAATTGCGTAATATCTAAATTTAACATAATAAAGTATGCAGTTTAAACCAAAGAATATTTATGCAATACTTAAATGATTTCATTTAAATGAAAGAACTATAAAAAATGAGAAAAATTCAAACAGAAATATAGATTTAGGCAAAATACACGGTGAAAGATCTAAAGAATAGAAATGTGTAAATTAATACAAAAACTCTATAATATATAAATTTTCTCTCTTCATAACACGCGTTGATGCATATAAAATAAATTACTGAACTTTGTCTATGATTTTTATTTCTACAGGTTTTTATATATTTAGAGATATGTAGGTTACAAACATGGTGTTAACCAGAATTTTCAAACTAAAGTTTTTTAAACCTACATAAACTTGAGATTTCATAGAGTAAAATATATATTTGTCGATATATTACATATAATTAAATATATTAGAAATTTAACTCATTTAAACCTATGCCATTCGTTAAAGGATCATCTGAATAGTACATATTCTTTCATATCTTGATTGTTCGATTCCAATCCTTTTATAGCATGCGGCTTGCAATGAATATCATGTTTAGTTTAATTAATGTAATTAAAATCTTTAGCTTAAATATCGGTAATGA